AAAAAAAAAAAGCTTTGTATTCTAGGATTTTAATTATGGTTGTGTAAATTGTAAATTAAAAGAACCAAACCTGCTTTCATAATTGATTGATTTATTCAGTCTGTATGCTAAGCAAATAACTTGAGAAGCTGGATTATGTGAAGAAGAATGTGATATCAGAATCTGCAGAAGACTCATCAACAGTCTGGATTATGTGCAGATAACACAATCTTTTCAACCTGTATGCAGAGCAGATTATCCAGGAGGCTGGACTCTATGAGGACAAGTGTGGCGTCAGGATTGGTGGAAGATCTATCAACAATCTGCGTTATGCAGATGACACAACCCTGCTTGCCAAAACTGAGGAGGACCTGATGGACTTGCTGCAGATGGTCAAGGACTGCAGCCTTCAGTATGGACTGAGGCTCAATGTCAAGAAGACAAATAATTGGCAGCAACAGGATGGATGGTGAAGAGATTGAGATTGTTCACAGCTTCAGTTTGCTCGGCTCCATGGTCAACACTCTTGGCACAGCAGCCAGGAAATAAAAAAATGTATTGTGAGGGGAAAGTCTGCTGTTAGGGACCTCTCTGAAGTATTCAAGAGCAACGGTGTCTCTGAAGATTAAGGTGCGCCTGATACAGGCCATGGTATTTGCAATCACTTGTTATGCATCAGAGACTTGGACAATGACTAGGGAGGATAGAAGGAGAATTGATGCCTTTGAGCTGTGGTGCTGGAGAAGAGTATTGAATGTACCCTGGACTGCCAAGAAAACAGATTCATCCTGGAGAGGGTTAAACCAGGCTACTCCTTGGAGGCAAGGATTCTGGGGCTTCATTTGACATACTTTGGCCATGTTGTAAGGAGGAACAGATCCTTGGAGAGGGACATCATGCTCAGAACGGTGGAGGGACAGCGCAAGAGGAGAAGACCCTCTATGAGGTGGATTGATTCAGTGACTGGGGTAATCGGGATGGGTGTGTCAGAGGCAGTGAGATTGGCACAGGATAGATAAGAGCACGGTTTAGGGCTGTTGCACATAGGGTCGCTATGAGTCGCAAACGACTCGACGGCATGTAACAGCAACAACAATCTTGCAGAAAGTGGAGGATACTTGAAATGCTTACTGTAGAAAATCGAAGACGACAGCCTTCAATATGGATT